AAGAGTAAGTGAGCATTAATACTTCTTTCAGCCTTAAATAACAAAGTACCAAGCTCACATAAAGAGATGTAGTTTTAAGTGTAACAGTGAAGACTGTCTACAGCTAGTTTACCCCAGTAGTCCAGTACCTGCATAACACGCTGGGATGCAAGAGATCATTTATGCACAACATCAGTTTCTAAACCCACACGAGCTGAACAGTGTGCTCCATATTAAAACATGGTGGGAGAAAAAAAAAAAAAACAAAACACGAAAAAAAACGATAAAAGGCAGAGGGAGACTGCAAAGTAGACAGGCTCTAGAGGGAGCCATATTCAATTTGCCTTGACAGAAAATATTACATAAGAACGGAAAATTATCTTCTCTCTTACAAAAAAGCATTCAGCTAGAGTTCATACTTCATATAACCTCCCATGTAGTCTCTCTAGCAAACGCATATGGGAGGTGGGGTCAATTAATGCAGCCGATTAGCTGAATCAAGACCACATCCAGATGAGCAGGACAAGAATACCACCAACATGCTGTTTCCATCCCTTCCAATTTATTACCTTTATTGCTCAAACTCCAAGCTACAGACCTGGTCTAATTTGTTACATTTTTTTCAGTTCTAGTCAGCTTGGCATCAGTGATCTGAATTGCTGCCAACGCTTAGTTCTGCGACAGTGTGAACAGAAATTAGGCATGTACATCTATCTCTTCCTAGGCAGAATAACAGAAGGCTGATCTGTAACCAGTTGGCAGTGCAGGAGATGACATTCCCAAGTCTGAATAGGGACATACTTTTTCAATCACTTGGGCCCTCAACCCACCCGTAACCCCCCTGGGGCTAAAAGGACCACCAGGCAAGAAGCTGGGCCCCTGCATGGATAAAGCTGTCAGAATAAGGCCCTCAACAATTAAACTATACAGTCATTCTGGCAAGAAGCATTGCTTAATTTCTAGTTCAAGAATTCTTTGAAGAAATAAGTGTTTCCATAACACACTCCATTTTTTTTCACCCTGTCACATGTGGCATCACCTCCTTCACACCAAGTAACAGTGACCAGGTCGCAATAAGGAGAAAAAAAAAAAAAAGAACAACTTCCTTACTTAGAGTCCCTTTATAACTTCTCACCATCCCTCTTACTACAATGAGAGATCACACAACCAGTGAGACCGCATATGTATAGTAACAAAAAGCTATTGTTAATTTTTATCAAGTATTAAACCCTAAAAATAGTTTCACTCATCAGGCTCACGCTCACTGCTGTCTTTCTTCACCGACCAGTAACACGCTAATAATTTTTCCTTCATCTTACAGGAATATGGAGTGGGGGTAAAACAGCCGAATTACTCTAATCTGTGTGTCTTGGAAGCAAAGCTTTCTTTTGCAGTCTTTTACACTGCAAGTGCTTCCAAAGACAAAATGTCTCTCTCCCTCTTTTGTGTCTCAATGCCAGTAAAGACAATAAAGCCCCAATTTTATGAGGACTGTGGAGTCTACCATAAACTTCTACTCCTGGTAGTATATTCTCTCCCATTCCACCCACATTTTCCTTTTGAGTTTAACCAGGACTTGAACCAACAAATCATACTTCACACAAGACAAAGGGCAGCATTCCTATCTCTGCTGAAAGTGACCAACTGTTTACTATCAACAGAAATTATTACTTTCCAATCAAGGTCCTGTCAAACCACATTAACTTCACTGAACAAGGCAGATTTAGCTAATCAAAATTGCATCACACAAGTCAGTCACCAGAACAGAAGCTGTTTTTTCCCCCGCTTAACATTTGAAGCAGGAATAGTAAAACCACCCAAGAAGGCAGTCAAACGTTCCAAAACCCAGCAGCAGATCCACTCTGCATTCTTCTCAAGGCATTATACCATTTAATTATTTCTTTGATGGGTCCATTATGTACATTTCTTCAGCCAGATAGAGTAAAGGTAACTCCACAGACAAATGTAGATACTTTATACAATACAACACTCAGGTACAAAGAAATTACAAATGTAGATTGCAGAGGAAAAACTCTGACTGCCAAAGTTGGGTTACGTGAAAACATACAGACAGATTAGAAGCAAGTGGATGCATCAGTGGCCTTGCAACATATCAGAAGTAATCAAAAGCAAAAGGAAAAACAAAATGACACAAAATTTCTACCAGCTATGTCTTCATTTATTTCGACTGAAAATTTGCAAAGATCAATGGAGGCTGCCATACCCAGAGATCTTAAGCATCCACAATCAGCACAACCAGCTGAATATGCACTTTTTAAAAATCAAGTGCTCTTCTCGCCGTTTTTCTTCCTCCTTACACCCCCAAACTATCAACAGCCAGTGCAAAAACCTAGGACAGAAACCACTAAAAATGTCACCTGAAGCCTCTGGCCTCACTGTGCTGAAGACAGACAATACTATGCTCAATACCTGCGGACTCTGGAGAAAGTAATTCCTCACTCTTGTAAGTAAAAAGTAAATAAAAATACAGGCATTATAGTCACCATAGAATTTCCACACTACAGGACAAATGATGGAATGGAAAAATACAACCAATGAACAGAACACTGGTGTTGCGTGGTTTTCCTTTATAGACTGTTTTTTATATATGGTGACAACATTTTACACTCAAGTGTTACTGACTTAAATTCTATGTGTGACATACAGTATCAATACCAGCCACTTTATTCCATATCAGAGACAGACAATACTACGTCACTTTAATATTCTGGTGACAAAATCCACACATCACTTTCCTTTCTCAATATATAAGAAGCCACCTTACGGCACTCGAGTTCTTTATTACATGACTCTTTATGATTTAGTGCCTAGATGGCTGAATTAGTGGCACAAATTCCCAAAAGCCAAAATGCTGATTTAAATAACAGATCAGTATATTGTGTTATTGTAATGCAATGCACAAGTTTGTACACTATACTTTCAGCAAGGCCACCAGATTCTGGGTGTCTGCCTGCTAGAAACGAGATACTATGCCACCCGTACAATGTAGCTAATATATTTTTTAAAAACCAAAAAACAAACAAACAAACAAAACACCCACAAATAAATCACAACAAAGTAGTACCACCAGTGGCCTGGCACCTCTTCTCATTTAAAACACCAGTTTCCAATTCTCAAGAATGTGTTTGAAGGCCTATGTTCAACATGAAACAGTTTTACTAACAGCAACTTTTGCTGAGTCTTTGTTCCTGTTAAAAACTCATTTTTTCTAGAGAAGAGGGAATTGTCTTCTCCTTCTTCCCCTTCCCAATATCCACAAGCTTCCCTCTTAGCTCTTTGCCAGAATATGTGAGATGTGCCTTGAGCAAGTCAGCATCTCATACCAAGAAAGACACTGCTGCTCCTTCTGAACTTCCTCGCTGACTCAAATGGAAGCTGGTCAAGGTACTAAATTCTTTGCACTTCTGAAGGGTCTGAAGAAAGCAGTAATTGTCAGTATGGACACTGAGTTGCTAAGAACTGTGTTAAGGACTACCGCGTCTCCCTGCCCCAAGAGCAATGAACAGCTGTCAGGTGGTAACAAGTTTTAGTCATCCTTAACTTGAGGCAGACCTGAACCCATGACCTATAGGTGGAAGGCTCTAGATCCCATTACCAAGCACTGGGGTCACAGTCCGTGTTTCAGCCATCACACATTAAAATGCTTTGGTGCATCTTAAGTGAGAAACACCCAGAAAAACAAAACTGCATGCCTCTAGCATACGTTTGCAGAATCCTGATGCACCCTCTAATGCCATAAATTGTACTTGCTTTCATTGGCACAATTGCTGACAGATATCCTTCCAATAACTTACTAACAATTTCAAAGTCACTGGGCTATTCAGCTCATGTGCTCATTTCCACTGCGTATGTCACACTGTCTTACCTACAACTCTGTCACAATTAGCATTCAACATTCACGTGGCATTACGTTAACATGCTTATAAAGAACTCTGGGATTGACCACCAGGAATTGCTATCCCTTCCACACTGATTAGTCTCAGGAATAAGTTTGACCTCTGCTACACTAAGAGATCGATCCTAAATCAAGCAATGAGCGATTGTCAAAAGCCACTGCTTGTTAATTTACTGTGCAGTGGCTCAACAGGCAAGATAGAGAAGCAAAGAATCATAGAATTGTCAGCATTGGAAGGGACCTTAAAGATCATCTAGATCCAACCCCCCTGCCATGGGCAGGGACACCTCCTACTAGATGAGTTTGCTCAGAGCCCCACCCAGCCTGGCCTTAAAAACTTCCAGGGATGGGGCTTCCACCCCCTCTCTGGGCAACCTGTGCCAGTGTCTCACCACCCTCATGGGGAAGAACTTCTGTCTAATGTCCAACCTGAACCGATCCATTTCCAGCTTTAATCCATTCCCTCTAGTCCTGTCGCTACCCGATAGCCTAAAAAGCCCCTCACCAGCTTTCTTGTAGCCCCCTTGAGATACTGGAAGGCCACAATAAGGTCTCCTCAGAGCCTTCTCTTCTGCAGACTGAACAGCCCCAACTCTCTCAGTCTGTCTTCATAGGAGAGGTGCTCCAGCCCTCTGATCATCCTCATGGCCCTTCTCTGGACATGTTCCAGCATGCCAATATCTTTCTCGTAGTAGGGGCTTCTACTAATTTTTTTTTTTTTACTATTTTTTTCAGAATATTTTACAA